AGAAGATGCACCTTCGGGCATTAAAATTTAGTGACCTGTCCAGTCTAACAAGGTCTTTAGTACCGCTAGGATCAAACATATCTCTGACAACAGAAATTACATAAAATATCATGTTACGAATGACCAAAGTATCCCCTGGTAATATAACATCACATGCCGAGTACACAAAGTCATATCCCTTCTCAACTTTTAATGTGCCTGACCCTTTGTATTGAGGGTGTTGTAATGTATCACCATCAACTTCAATAGTGCGAAGAGCAAAGTTATCTGGTAAGGTATCATCTTCACCCGGATTTGACCCACCATAAGGTATCAAACATTTCATATTGTCCCCTTTATGTTCAATAGAAAGAACAAGCTGGCCCATCAAGATTTCAATTGAGGTACCCTGAGGTAATTCATAAACAAAATTCTCTACGACAGCATAAAATGGAATAATAATCGTAAAATCCCCAGAGTTGAATCTCCTTACCAAATTATCCTTTCCAAAAATGTTACATAAGCGACGTAGAGTTTGTACTTCACAGATATAAAGCGGGTATCTCTCCAATACTTCATTGTCCGAGAACCTGGAAGCCAGTGACTTCAAGAATACAAGTTTGGAAACCTCCAAAGAAATTACTTTCTGCTGCGGACTCTCTGAAGTCACACGAAAAAGATTGCCGTCTTTTAACTTTCGGATAAATTTCCCCTCAAAAAATCGTACTTGATTTCGGTAGAAGTCTTCTAGTTGCTTTAAGGAAGGACAAATTTCCAGTTTATTTCCCAAAGGGGAAGTACACTCGCCCACCATTAAACAATATAAGGCCATAAAGCGCATGCGTACAACGAACTACGCTGTGCAGTAAGTACATGCGCCTGCAATAAGGCCGCAAAGGTTATCGGTCTAGCAAGTGAGCTTCAGAATCGCAGTGAGTTCCGCTACTCAGATTTTCGGGAGTTGATACTGACCTTATTCAATAAATTTGTAGACATGGGACCGTATAAATTCTTTACAGCATCGAACACAAAATGCTTATTTTGAATTTTCTCTTATCAAATTTATAGTGTGCCGCCATTTTGAATTTTTTGGCGAACACCTAACACACATGTCTGCGGGCCATGTTGTCCTTCATTTCTGGCCATGCAACCATAATATGTCGCATGCAGTGGATTTAAACCTGATAAAACATTCCTAATTAGTATTCTTTATATAAAGAATACTAATAAGGCAGTTTATCTATTGAATTTGTGCTGCACGCACAACCTCATGCTAAACCTAATGAGTATATTGCACTACCACAGAAAAAAAAACACTCCTGCTCGTTGATTAAACAGCACTTTGAATAGTGTCTTTTATAAAGTTTGAATTCTTTAGGAAGAGTGAAAAATGTATTAACAATTAAAAAATGGGGAAGGTGGTCTGTGAGATTGTATATCATTTTCCCACTAATGGTATGGTGACTAATAGAATTAAATAATATATTGTTAATTAATGTAGCAGAGTGACCAGTTATTAGAATAGGTTGTAGAATATGACAGCTAAAAAAATAGGTGCCCAGCAAATTAAGAAAATCTTCTGTTGGTGGATGAGAACTGAATTTAGAAAATTTATATCAAAATCACCCATCATAATACATAGCTTGCCTTCCCGATTAATTTTATCAATAGCACCGTCAAGGGTGTCTGTATATAACCCCACATATAAGATTCTGTTTCATGTTACTATGAATCTCCATCCATAGTGCTTCATAATCAAGTATTGAAACTGAGAGATCCATAACCAAGAATTTCAATATTGGTACACAGCTCTTTTGTACTCATAATTTTAGTTTCAGTTAGACAATTAGAGAAATATTATAATTCAATTCTAGTAATAATTCATTTAAGCCGTCAAAATTTGAATGTATATTAGAACGTAAAACAGACTAGGGATCGAAGTTTCAAATTTAGAAAGACACTGCAAGTGTATGGGGGCATAAAGTGGAAAATGCGTAGTCTCATTAAAATTGAATTTTCTGGAAAAATAAACTGTTTTGACATGCTGCATGCGGCACCAGGCTTGTAAAAGTGGGGGGATTTTTGAGTGGTGAAGGCAGTGTTTTTCCTTGTTTCCTTGAATTTCCTTGATTAACCAAAGTATATTTCAGCAACTATAATTCATCAATACTTATTATATAAAGACAGACAGAATGGTACATTTCTTTCATACAAATCTTGAAAAGAAAGTCTTTACACAACAATTTTGAAAGCTTTAAAATGTAAAATACTAGAGTTTTAATATTGTTCTCAATTGCAACAAATTCACATGACAAATAAAATCATATAAATTCGCATGACAGCCAACACGTGGTGCCCTGCAGGCAGCACGGCTACCTGATTTCCGCCTAAAATTGATAAGTGGGGGAGGGGACCATATTCATATATCGTCGAAAGATCGATAAGTGCCGGAGGGGACCACATTCATATATTCATGTTCTGCATTATTAATTTCTTTTGAAATCAATTGTTTTTAAGGTCTGTGAACACAAATATATGAATATGGCAGGGGTGGAAAATTTTTTTTCTTTCTGGGAACCTGGGTCGAAGGCTAGAAATTTTCTGTAAAATAACAAAACAAATGCATAATTATTTTATTATTTGTACTTTAGTAATAATGGGCTTTAGGCTGGTTTTCGTACTCATGTACATCACAATAGTTGTCTGTTATATACCACAGTTATGAGTTATGACCAACTAGTAAGGATCTTGATTTTTTCTGTGTTAGTGTTATGTACTAAGGTGAATATGATGTTTGTGATGTTACTCTGAGTGTATATCCACACCGGGCAAACTTGAAAAACATGCCTGGCCACGATGGGAATCGAACCTACAACATTTGGATTACTAGCCCAATATTCTGCCAACTGTAAGTTGTAATACACTCTAGTCTACACAATTTCACACCACCACTCAATAGTCGCTGCTCGTCCATGCCCGCCATTGGAAAATGATATATGAGAGCATGTGTATTAATTCATTTGTTTTATGATGCAGGGGGCAAATCATATAATAGCAAGTGCTTGAAATGTAACAGTAATTTGGTTATAACTTCTGTAAATGTTGGATAAAATAAGTAAGAACATGTACCATCATGAATATAAATATAGATTTTTACAATCTATAAACAGCTATAAACGATTAGTTGGCTGAACATTGCAAAGCTCTAGAAAATGTAAATAAAAATAATTTACAAGGTCCACACTATAGATAGATTGATCGGTCACTGGATTGAATTTTTGTCATACCAATATAGTGCAAAGCAACTTTGCACTAAAAATTGCTGATTGCTTCTACAATTTATTATCTCTGTGCTATTTTGAAACTCATTGGTTGTATAGTATTTAAAAGTTGACTGAATAGGAATGTTAATATCAGGATCCAGATTAACAAGATTAAATCTTTAAATTATTGAAGAAATAAATTGTAGGAGGCTGACATTATGAGGATAGTTACCTACTAAGTCAATTAATCTAATATAAAATTCAATAAGTGAATAAAGAACTTAGCTGACAACATTGTTATGTAGCTTGTCAATGTCACAGTTATTTTGTACCTGTGGCTATTCGTCCAACACAGGAACTCTATGTTTGATGGCTATTCATCCGACATTTGCCACAAAATATATCAACTTAGAAAAATCTTCAACACACAGTGTTATCTTTTGTGCTGTTTTTGTCGTAAGCGTTGATCGAATAGTTATTCTTCCGACATCATGTCATATCTGTTTAACAAAACTATGCTTGGGACAAATGGTTTCTTTGAAATCATAGATGACTTCGCCATGTTACCAAAATTGTTACCTCCTAGAAAACAGTAATTTTCCCATCAGGGGTGAACAAATTCAAGTAAAATGCTCTGGTATTTTATTCACATTTAGAAAGGAAGATTGTTAAAGTAAGGTCTGAGCCTTGAAACATTCACATTTTCATCAATTAAACCAGGGTGCACCTTTTCTGGTCCGACTTCGACAGCAGTCTCGATAACACCACCACTCAGAGCTGAAGTCACATCATCTTTTGATAATAACCATGACAACATAACTATATAAAAATAATAACTATTAATATTTTACAAATTAGTTCATAGATATTTTACTATTATAATACTGGTTTTGTTGTCCCAATCTCATACCTTTATCTTTATCAGTAGCCTGCATTTTCATAAAAGGTGTTGGTTTATCCTTTCCAGAACTCTTCTTCTGCTTCCTTTTTTGTGATATTCCAATGACTGGTTAGGTCAACGCCTTTTGGGCATCCACGTTTGGGCATAATGGGAGGGATTTTGATCTTACAAATCGCTAGAAAAGAACAACATATGTATCTTGCTGCCCTTTCTTTGCCAAAGTGGGGCACATTGTGTGTGTGAAAAGGTAGCAAGCCTACTGTACCTTGTGGTTGAGTTGTATTCACATCAGCTAATGGGACACTCTTAATTGTCTGGCTGGATTTCTACATCCCCTGAAAATGAAAAACACCTGTTTAATTATATGTCCACCCACTCATTGAACTCATGATTTTTGTTTTACTAATGTTGGAGTGATGCTGTGATTCAGTAATGTTTGATTGTGTTACTTCCAAATGAGATATTTGACTGGTTATCACAGCTTCTTCTGTTTGGATTTGTTGGTTATCTAGAAAAGATGTTGGAAAATACCGTAAACACTGTAACAAATTCCTGTCATTTTGCAGAATTTGTAAGAGGTAAAACTCTTAATGCAGCTCAAGTGTTGGTATCATTTGATGTTGTTTCTTTGTTTACAAATATCCCAGTTGATCTTGCCATCAAGATTGTGACAAAAAGACTAAGACAGGATGCCACTTTGTTACAAAGAACATCCTTGCCTGTAGAAGATATTATTGATCTTGTGTCTTTTTGTCTCAATACCTCATACTTTGTGTTTGAGGGCTGTTATTATCAACAGGTTTTTGGAACAGCGATGGGGTCACCAGTATCGGCAGTAATGTTCTCATATTTTTTTTTAGTTTACCAATGTTGGAGTGATTCTCAGGGCACTGGAACCAGGTGTTAGCCAGAAATAAAAAAATCTGTGTTTAACTGAAATTGGGGGAAAATAATTGAATATTTATAATATAGCTATTTTTTGGCTGACCTATATTGAGAAATTGCGACGTCAAGGTAATTGGGAAAACTGAGTTTAACTCATTAACTGGCAAGCTGTTACAATGTTACCACCCCCTAAAGTGGCAAGCAATATGGCAAATTCATGATTGAATTCCAAGCTTTCACCAAAATGGCAATATCTCAGAAACAATTGCATAAAAAAGTCTGATCTTTTCAACCAAACATGAATGATATATGATTGACCAAATTTAGTTTAGATGAGCTTGCATACCTATATATATCATTAGTTTTTTCAGTCAGTATTTTTATTTATAAAGCAGTGACATTTTGTTTTTCATGTCACTCATCACCTAAAGGGGCAATATCTCCATAAATTTATGTAAAAAAAAAAAAAAATTTTACTAAATTAATACATATCTATATTACAACCAATTTTCATCTTTTGGGATATGAATTATGAAATTATCAAAAAATTTAAAAATTACTTTGCTTTTTTGGGGCATCTTGTTTACAACATGAAATTTAGAACAGTAACTAAGTGTTCAAGTTCAACAAAGTGTGCAAGCCAAAACACAGTGTTTGTACATCTTTAAAGTTTTTTTATTGCTTCAAATATATTTAAGAAGACACATGGTGCTTAAATTTATTTATTTTAATATAAACCAAGGATGGGAAGGTGAGAAAATGAGAATTTTCTGAGGTGTTTTTAACACAGACAATGCCAGCCGACATTTTGAAAGGCACTCTGCGGTGACAAAACTAAAAGCTATTCACTTCTGTACTCAAAGCACTGAAAAGTATCATAAACAGAAAAACACTTTAAACACATGTCAGGTAAGACTTTTAGCTCAATATTTTCATGCTTCTATTGGGAAAGCAACGGTTTAAAAGCCAAAATTATTTTGTGCGCCAATGTAGGCTGCTATAAAATGTCAGACAGGCGGTTTCTTTTGAAGTCTGGCTCTGAAAAACAATCTCTTTTTTTGAGTTTGAAATAAGCCTTCATAAGGATTATTGTGTAGAAATGTTATCTATATGCTCACATGAAAAAGATAACCTAATATTCAGGTATTCCACATAGCTATAAAAGGGTGAAATAAGAACTTTCATCTTTGGTTGTTTGTCAGACGTGAGAAACCACATTAGTGCCATTTTGTTGCGCGTGCTATTTTATAAAATAAACACCTCAAAACCATAAACTTTTAGTTCAGAAAATTACAAAGTTTCCCATGGACATTATTAAAAATGTTCTAGTGAAGCGATTTCATGATAAATAAGTGAGCAATGGGCCCAAAAGAACTGCTAAGGTTAGTTTTTGTTAGGACTTCAATTTCATGGCTTCCCGCAAAGGAAGCCATTAGCAGAGAGAAGCAACATTTCGCAAAAAACCGTCGCGACTTATTTTGATAACTTTTCCTTCTGATTCAACGTGTAGTTATTAAAAAATGTTGTTGCATAAACATTATCTGCTTTATCGATTTAAAGTTTTATAGGGGATATAAAAAAACAGTAAGCATTTTGAACGCTTTACAACTCAAGTGTGGACCTTTTGAATATTCGCACGTGGCAAGCAAGCGCGTTTATTCAATACACTTATTTTAAACCACAATACGTCTGAAACGAGTTGTCATTTTGACACTAAATTGATGAAAATAGATATAACAGTGATTTTGGAATATCCTACTTATTTAGTGTAATTTAATAGTCGTACGCACAGAGTAAGTGTCGTTTGAAATATACTTTAGCTAAAATAACAACTTGAACAAGAAGACCAACAATGGGGTCACAAAAACAGTCAAAGTTGCACCCAAATTTGCATAAACAGTTCGTCTAAAAAGATAAGTTTAAACTAGATTCAACCAACATTAATGCGGTCGAATTTTGTGAGTGTTTGATCGTATATCCGTGTTGATCTTTCTTGTGATTTCCGACTTCTATTTTTAATAAAGTTTGGAGAAATCCTCATCTTTTTGGCTGAAAATCTTGCGCATGGTTCACAGAAGAACTTGGCACAAAACGTCAATACATTCGCTTTCCTTTCATGCCAAATTTTCATTGTAAATCATTCAAAAACGTCTTCTTTTTCCTCTTTTAAAACTTGCTGTTTTAAAACTTGCTTGCCTTATTTTTGAAAAACTAAGGTTTTAAACTTGAAAAACTTTGCGAGTTTTTGGCCGATTTTCTTGCATGATACACCGTTGAAAAGCTCGAATTTCGCATTCTATTTTCGTATCCGTTGCTAGGCAACCCGATAAACACATGCTCAAATATCATGCCCGCAAGTTGAGGTGTCATTTGAGGGCATATGCGGGCGCATTGCCAGTTACCCACTTGCCAATCTCAGGGCGCATCCGGGCGCATTGCCAGTTAATGAGTTAAAGTAGAATTCTTGACTGTACTGTAGCTAACACCCTGTGGAACGAACAGGACACTTAGCTAGTGTAATTAATACTTGCATCTCTGGGGTTTATAGATAAGACATAGCAATATAATGAAAAAATACATTTGTTATCACATGCATACTGTACTTCACTGGATGGTCTCTTGCAATATTCAAAATTGTTTGTCATCAGTGCAGGGGATCTCATTTCACCTTGAGAGCCTGCTCGCAGGCTGCAGTAGATCAAAGCATATCTTCATTCTCCCGAAACTTCTTCACAAGCTTTTCAATGTCATTTTGATTAGACTTGCTAGAGGACATTTTTGCTCTCATGTTTGACATGCCACAACACGTCACAACATGTCACTACTTTCCTACTTATCGTTTGCAAATGATTCTGCAAAACGTTTTTGTTGCACTTCATCTCAACAATTTGTCTGTCTCGCTAAATGTTTCATCATCTAGTCTTTTTTTCTTTGGGAAGTGCTTAAACGATATCTAAAAAAATAGAGATCTATTATCTGGGGCATTTGACTTGAATTTTTTTTCAATTTCCTCATAATACTTCCTCTACTATCTAATGCCATGGTGGCCTACTTATTTTACCCCACACACATCACCCAGTAATGTCATGTTCATTGCTGGTCACATGGAATCCAGTCGTTTCAACCCCCAAGTTGATTCAAAGTCATTCAATAATATCAATGCTATTTCACCCCCAAGGTCATTAGATGTGAAAGTTGTCCCCTCCCAAAAAAAAGCTTGGAAGTCTTTTTCTTGGAAGTTAACCCTGTTACTTGCAAAATGGGTCATTCCAGAAAACATCCATACCTCCCCTACAGAGGAAATTGGCACTTACCGCCTTCGGATGTCCTAATACACTTACTATTATCAGAAATATTTCCCCCCCTGTCCGGATCTTTCCTGGAACGACGCAATATGTAAAAATGCATGCAAGAACAACAGGGCTTGAAATAGCATTCCCAAAGTTCCCATGCTTTTTCAGGTTGGAAACCCTGCTTTTCTGCAATCATTAACAATTTCTTGCCAATCATTGATCGGCTGTTATTCAAGCCCTACAAATGAAATTGTAGGGCTTGAAATAACAACAGACAAATCAAACAATTTCCTGAGCTTTGATTATCAGGGGGCAAAACAACTTTGACATCTAATTACTTAGGGGTGAAACGACTTTGATATCAAATGACTTGGGGGACGAAATGGCTTTGGGCAAATCAACTTGGGGACAAATTGACTTGGGGACTAAAGGTGTGCGAATCCGATCAGATTCGGACAGTAATTTACTCGGATTGGATCTTGTTTTGTTTCTGTCAGATCGGGTTCGGATTTGTTTTTTTTCTTGTATCACGTCGGAGCGATTGCAGAATACCCGTCCACTTTTGAAGACCCGCTAGAAATATCGGTGGCTACGCAGTGGGTACGAGAACGAGGCAATGAAGTGATTACATAATTACTAAAGCGCAACTGCTACGCAGTGAGTTTTTCAAAGAACGAGACATTGGTATGATGACGTAATTATTAAAGTATACTGTAGGTATATTTTTTAGTGGCTACGTGGCTACGCGGCTACGCAGTGAGTTTTTATAAAAGAACGAGACATTGATATAATGACGTAATTACTAAAGTATAATACTGTAGGTATATTTTTTAGTGGCTACGCAGTGAGTTTTTCAAAGAACGAGAAATTGGTACAATGACGTAATTAATAAAGTATACTGTAGGTATATATTTTAGTGGCTACGTGGCTACGCGGCTACGCAGTGAGTTTTTATAAAAGAACGAGACATTGATATGACATAATTACTAAAGTATAATACTGTAGGTACATTTTTTAGTGGCTACGTGGCTACGCAGTGAGTTTTTCAAAGAACGAGAAATTGGTATAATGATGTAATTATTAAAGTATACTGTAGGTATATTTTTTGGTGGCTACGCGGCTACGCAGTGAGTTTTTGAAAGAACAAGACATTGGTATGATGACGTAATTATTAAAGTATACTGTAGGTATATTTTGTAGTGGCTATGTGGCTACGCAGTGCGTTTTTAAAAGAACGAGACATTGATATATAATGACGTAATTACTAAAGTATAATACTGTATGTATATTTTTTAGTGGCTACGCGGCTACGCAGTGAGTTTTTCAAAGAACGAGACATTGGTATAATGACGTAATTATTAAAGTATACTGTAGGTATATTTTTTAGTGGCTATGCAGTGAGTTTTGATAAAAGAACGAGACATTGATATAATGACGCAATTACTACGTGGCTATACGCAGTGAGTTTTTAAAACAACGAGAGATTGAAGAAATTTAAAAACATTATATAATATTTATTTATATGTATTTAATGAAACTATAACACCAACCCTTAACCTAATGCCGCAATCGCTGCAATTATTTACGTGGTTTTAAATATTAAGTTGAAAGACCTTAAGATATGGTTTTTATAAGTACCTACGAAGTTCTTATTTTCAAATATACAGTAATTAAGCATCATATTGTTCTTGCATGATAACTTGCTGCTGCAGAAGAAAGTCCTTTACATTTTTCGTAATTGTTTTGTGCACTGGAAGATGGAATTTGGTGGCGTAGTCATTTGCTTTGCAAAGGTGGGCATAGGGCCATGAGGGAAAGGCATTTGGTTGTCGTTTAACAAATGCTTTGATGGCTTGGGCAATTCGTGCCACTCTAACGGACATTACTGACCCCAATTATGGCTTGAGTTGCTCAACAGCAGCCTCGTACTCTTGTTTTGTTGACCCACGAACAAAACGAGGGGCACATTGACGAAATGCCCGATAAGTAACCACAGGCCCAGAAAAGAGAAGGATCGCGGTTTTAATATCTGCTGTTGGGGTCTTGGGGAATCGCATACATTGTGAGTGATGGATTTAATAAACTGCAATAGAGAAAATATATAAGCTAGGAATTAAATAACATGGCCATGGGAAATGATCAGCCTAACCGAGCTATAAAAAACAATTCTGTAAAATATATTTCAAGTATCGTTGCAGGTATATACACACAAACAAGTTTTCCTAATTGCTATACACTCTAGAGCCTGCATGAATAATAAACTAATCTATATTTAGATAGTTAATTTTTGAACGAAAATTTGTAACTGTAAAATATATTTGAAGTATTGTTGCAGGTATATACACACAAACAGGTTTTCCTAATTGCTCTACACTCTAGAGCCTGCATAAATAATACACTAATCTATATTTAGATAGTTCATTTTTGAACGACAATTTATGAGGTATTTAATTGTGTCAAACTTACTTGGCATAACATGTGCTTCTGCAACTCTACATAGTCCACATATCTAACAGCGCACTGTAACGTGTTCAATGGTATTGTAGTTGAGATGTCTACTTCGGCATAACCTGCAAGTAAATTGTTGAGGGCAACAGTGAATATGTGAAGAGCTATAGCGAGTCTTGGAATTAGGTCGAGCTGCTTCGATTTAGGTGGGAGAACAGAGCTGTCTTTGATTGCATCATTAACTTCGGCAATGAAGTGGTCCTTCCTGGATTTCAATAACTGTTTGGCGTCTTCGTCGAACGTATATGGAAGGGTTTGGAGTTGTTGGCAGTCATTAATGTACTGAAACACCTGCTTTATCGTGTCTTCTGGTTCGGTGGTTAGGTATTCCCGAGCTGTTTCAACTTCGGCTGATGTTGGACAAAGTGCTAAGGGAACAGTGATTAAGAATCGGTCGATCAAACCCTGGCCGTGGTCCATTCTAGCAATTAATTTGGCAGTATTTGGCATCTGGGTACAACCAAGTATGGAGAATGGGGTGTTACTTGGAATTTCACGAGCCTGTTCGGTTGAGTAACTGTAGGAGGTTGCTTCGCCAGAAAACAGCTTGCACAATAACATCGCGTCACCACTCGCGTTGTCCTCATTGTTTTTTAACAGTTTGTTTAGGACATCAAAGACCTCTGGCGAGACTAAATATCCACTCTGCTTTGTAGCCAGTTGTTTAACTAAACCGGAAGACGTTGTTCTGTCAATTAAAACTGAGGGATTGTCATTCTCAAACAAATCAGCAATAGGTTGTAAGCAGCCATACTGTATCGCTGAAGATTTTCCGGTGCCAGGATAACCAACAAATATAGTATACATGTTTATTGGTTGCTTGTGTGTTAGTGCCTGGACAGTGCATCCGTTTTTGGCGGACAAGAATGCTGTGGTGGTCAGTAAGGAAGGTATTAAATAGCCAATGGAACTGTTGAGGGAAGCAGCTTTGTGGCGAAGAAATGTCGCTATATCCTCGGGAAAAATTTCTTCAAACTGAAAAGGAATGTCTGCAATTCTTTTGTGAAGCTGTGTCCATGTTGTTTCGTGCTGCCTTGCAACTTTGGTAAGAGGATTTGTGGAAGCCATCGTTGAACAGTGTCAAGCAGTAAAGCATAAGCTATTGTGAGATGTGAATGCATGTGAGGTGGTAGGATATCGTTTAAAATTATCAGCGGAACGAAGGAATTTCCGGCTGTTGTTTGCTTCATTAATGCTATAATTCTGACATTTTTATTGGAGGAGGCCACGTGTAGGATGTAGGATGTGTAATATGAAGCGATTTGTATTAAGTGAAGTCTATAATAATCGCTTGAAATGTAACTACATGCTTAAAATATTAACCATAAATATGGAAAAGGGCATGCAGGTGTGCGTTAAGTCAGCAAAAAGAAATATTAAAAAACCCCAGTAGTTCACAAACCGCGCTGTCTCACTTTGATCTAAAAGACGCTGAATCGCAGTGTGGAAGGGAAAAGAGCAGCTACGGTCGAAGCGAAAAGTTGGTAAAATGGACATACGACAGGTTAAAAGACGAAGTAATGGGAAGCAAGTATAACGTTATACGTTGGTGCATGGACGAGGGATTAATCGCGCGTCAAAGAGATTGTGCACATTGCAAAAACCCAATGAACTTAGTAAAATGTGAAGACAGGTCAGACGGATACAAGTGGGAATGTCGAAGACAAGAGGGAGGGAAGAGACACAAGGTCGAGTTATCTATCCGACAAGGTAGTTGGTTTGAGAAGAGCAATATGAAATTAGAGGAAGTCCTTAAATTTACATATTGGTGGTGTTGTGATGTCAAACAAGAGCAGATATGTCACGAGCTAAACATCGCTTCCCACACGGCGGTAGATTGGGACAGTTTCTGTCGCGAGACATGTGAAGTGACACTTTTAGAGCGCGAGGAAAAGGTTGGTGGCCCTGGTAAGTTGTTCAAATAGACGAAAGTAAATTTGGGAAAAGAAAATACCACAGAGGGCATCGGGTTGAGGGACAGTGGGTTTTCGGCGGAATTGAAGAGGATTCGAGACAGAGTTTTATGGCAGCAGTAGACAAGCGTGATGAAGCGACATTGTTGCCTTTGATACAAAGACACATTGCAAAGGGAACAACAATTGTGTCAGACTGTTGTAAAGCATATATCAATTTGGAGAGACATGGATACGAGCATCGATTGGTGAATCACTCGAAAGAATTTGTGAATAGTGAGGGATTCCACACGAACAAAATTGAAGGACATTGGCGACAAGCGAAGTGCAAACTGCCGTGTTTTGGCGTGCGAAAGATTGCGTTTTCATCGCATTTAGTTGAGTTTTTGTGGCGATATGAAAACAAGGGTAAAGATTTATTTGTAGAATTTCTTTGTGATGTTAAGAAAATATACAGTGAATTTTAATGCAGATCTTTGAAAGGGTTAATGGGAAAACCAAGTAACTTGTATATACTGTATATGTTAATAAGCCGTGGCTCAGAAATAAATCGCGAATGATTGGTATAACAGCCGTTGGCATCTAAATCTTGCCAATTACAAATTAACTGCGGTTAACGTTTACCAACCAGTCGTTCGCAACTTATTTAGGTCGCGGCCTATTAGTTCACTCGTATAAATGGGCCTAACTAAAAAACTCGTTTTAAAAACTCCTTTTATTCCGTCGTCTGTTGAACGATTAAATATTCTTAGTATCTAGGTAGTACCGTTCTTCCTATATTTTAATGTTTTCTAATCGTAGTTTATATAGCTCTTATATAGCTATATCTTGTAATTATAGATATGGGAATTTTTAATATTTCTACCATACGAACTTGTATTTTTCATGCAATAGCTTATGTTTATGGATGTAGCCTATTTCCACTGTTTTGGTCGCAAACTCAGATTTAATTATAATAATTTAAAATCAACTATAGTTTTACTATGTAGCATGCACATATTACTGATTGATTCCCCGCGAATTTTTTATTCGTTTTAACTGCTGCTCACGATGACAGTTGTAATGCATATGTTTATAGCATATTAAATCCGCACAGTAATACTTTACTGACTTATATGCCTATAGCTATGGGCTACTGTGTCGGTTTCTATGCGTACGGCAGGCAGAAAGGTTTGATATTGTACAAACTGGACTTTTCCTGTTACTATCCTTCTAATTTTTCTGTGGTTCATGGACTATTTACACAATAGTTTTCAAGTGTTGCGCTCAACGCAAAAACGGCGTGATGACACGCGGACTGCGTACGTAGCCACTAAAAATGTGGCTACGATTCTAAAAACTATATACCTTCCTTACAATTACGTCATATCAGTCTCTCGTTCTTTTAAAAACTCACTGCGTAGCCACGTAGCCACTAAAAAATATACCTACAGTATACTTTAGTAATTACGTCATTATATCAATGTCTCGTTCTTTTAAAAAACTCACTGCGTAGCCGCGTAGCCACTAAACAATATACCTACAATATACTTTAGTAATTACGTCACCATATCAGTCTCTCGTTCTTTTAAAAACTCACTGCGTAGCCGCGTAGCCACTAAAAAATAGCTTCATTACAATTACGTCATGATATCAACAAGAGAGAGGTATTTCCTTGATATTGTAATTTGATAACGCGTGACTGCGTAGTCACTGAAAATCTGGCTACACAGTGAAAGATAACTAGTGGACGGGTATTCTGCAATTTAGCCATCACGTCGAATTATTTGAACATTTTTACAAATTGAGATAGTTCTATTATTCTGCAGCTGTATTCAACTTTTTACGTTACAAATGGCATCAGAATTCACAATGGGTTAGAGCCTAGAAATAATTCCATAATCCATAGCCCATACAAAATACAAAGTAACTTTTTGTTCGCGATTCGCAAATATAACGAATGCTACCCAATCTAAAAGCTAAATACTATGTTATATTGTTGCTATGACATTTAAAATTTTAAATAGTTTTATTGTGAAAGTTGAAGTGTATGCTACTGTATAAATTTGTACTATGTTGTTTTTGATTTTTGAAGCATTGAAAATGAAACACAAAGAAAATGGTTAAGAGGGATTTTTTTTAAAGTGTCATAATCTTTTGCTGTAGCTATCAGTTCTTTGTTTTTGTTTTTAATATTAGTTTATACTTTATAGTTTATACTTTATATGGTTATTTACATCACACGGTTGAAACTTAAGTTCTTAGGCTGAATTTCATAGCCTAAACTCTAAAGCTAGCTACTAAGCTAGTAAAATAGAACTTTATAAGACTGCCTGCTTAGTAGTAAAATAGAACATTATAAACGGACAGAGTTGCAAAGTAAGTTAACAACAACCCTTAAACAAACCATAGCTACACAATAGCTAAACGTTGCCCGCATTATCCACAAGTTGAACGACCTGCTTCAATTGCAGCACGTCTGGTGACCGTGGACAACAAGTGATTTCGCCAACTCGCAAAAAGGCAAAAAATGCGGTCGTGCACATAGCTTTGAACAAGTACCCCAGATACTCACTCGAACATATAGTTGGAGTTTGCTGTAAGACGGTGCGAAGGATAGGGAGAGTTATGGGCAAGCGTGTATCAATGCATGACCCAAGCTTACCATAGCCTTTCAACATTTCGACAATCCAAAACACTTTAGTTGGGTCGTTCACCCCTGCAAGACGATGACAATATCCCAGTGCAGAAACGTATGTGTTGGCCGTCGAGGCTGCATAATTGCGTTGAAACATGTACGAAATAAATAGGCTTAAGTTGGTGGGCGATAGAGGCAGTGAGACTAAAGCTGAGTAAAAAACTGCACTTGAAAATTGGCTATATAGTTTCCAGGCCCGGCGATAAGTAGGGACTGACGATGGCTGCAAACTAGATTGAAGTAATTTAGTTGTTAGAGCGGCCAGTTGTACAGGAGTAGTTGGGCTGGTATGACCGTTGGTGACGATTGTACACCCACTGGAGCTAGCTGTTTGAACTGCGAAACCTGCAATCGAGATAAAGCGTCAGCTAAAACATTTTAACGATTGTATTTCGCGCAAAGTAACTTTTTTGCGACACAGAAAGCCAGATATTAGAGACTTGCATTTATCGGTCTTGTCATCTGGTAAACAGGCTTCCATGTGCAAAGTGTCTCATTCAATGCCAGCAAAGGCGAGAATAGTTTGTGGGCCAACAGTTTTGTCCGGTGCGATTGGTATGCCTAAATATTTACAGAGAGATAAGAAGCGGACAAGGTCAATGTGACATTGGTGATTAGTAGGTGACGCCATTAGATAATCATCAAGAATGTGGATTAGATGTGGGATTTGCAAGTGTTTCTTAGCAACCCATTCGATAGCAGTGCTAAACATCTCGAAAGTGCGACAAGATGACGCACAGCCAAAGGGCATAACGCGATCATAGTAATACTTCCCTTGCCAAAACATTCCTACAATATCATAATCGGATGGCCTTATCGGGATAATACGAAATGCGCTCTTGATATCCGTTTTTGCTAGGAAACAGCCGCGGCCCAATTGTTTGATAATTTTAATGGCATCATGAACACAAGCATAATGTACAGTTGAATGCTCGTGAGGAATGCCATCATTAACAGATTCACCACTTGGAAAAGACAAATGGTGGATTAAGCGATATTCTCCAGGGGCTTTTTTAGGTACCAGCCCCAAGGGGGAAACACGAAAATTAGGAAAGGGTGGACTGTTGAAAGGCCCAGCCAGGCGATCGACCGCCAATTCTTTCGA